GTGGTGCGTGGGAGGGGGTTCAGCCCCTTCGCCCCTCGCTGCGCGAGCAATAGGGGGTGGGCAGGCCGACGTAATGGGCTGGTGCACACACGTGCACAGGGTGCATCCATGTGGTCGTCGAGGAAAATCACGGGACGATGTCAACGACCCATGTTTGCGACGATCTTCGTCGTTTCCGACCTCGTCTGTCGTCACCTCGTGGTTACCTCGTCTCGTTATCCCGCTTCTTCTGTCTCGGATCGCTGACGCAGAATTTAATTACCCCACGGCGGATGAATTTTTTAGCGCCGCGACAGGTGCGACCGGCGCGCCGACATTCCGACGTTCCACCACCTATTCAAGTCCCTGCCGCCCCTTTTCAGAATCGCGGACACCGGGAAAAATTGTTTCGCAACTTCGCGTGCCGCACTCGCGTTGTTCCGCGCGACAATCGCGCCGATTTCCTTTGTCCTTGTTTGCTGGATTTTGCGGAAACGATCTCCGACGATTCCTTTAACAGATTTTAACCCCCCGTCGGTCCAACGCGACGTACACGTGGCAAAGATCGACGGAATCGTAAAATATGGCAGGCGATTTTGGAAGAATGGACGCGGTGATCTTGATGAAAATGTACCAATGCGTTTATATCGAGCAGTCATAACTGTGTCATAACTAAATATAACACTTACGACACAGATGTGGCTAGTTGATTGGTATAAATTCATTGGTATACTTTCATCAGAATTGTCATGTCTATTCTTCGAAAATTGTATGCTAGATTTTACGGTTATATTTTAGGCCAGATTTTATTAAACTAAATACGATACTTTGTAGGAAGCCATACGAAGCTTGATAAAAATAATTGTCCATACGATTTCGTGCTAAATGGAAGTATATTTGATGTAAAAAGTAGCTTCGACTTGGCGGTACGCGAGCTTGAAATACTTCTGCTCCGCTAAGGGTTGATATCTGCAAAAATTGTAGCGTTGTACAGTAAATTCTCCCCAATTTTCCTTCGGCCTGCAAACAAAAATGGACAATTTGAGAAAAGGAGATACGATGATATATGCACGATTTGTTATATTACAGTTTTATTCTATAGTTATTTATATATAGTTTGTTATATTATAATTATTTATAGTTATATTATATATTTACATAATTATTTATATATATATTATATATCATTTTATTAGTTCTATTTTATATATAGTTCATACATAGTTGTTTACAGTAATTTACAACCTTCCACCCCGTTTTCATAATTATTGCGTAAGGCTCAAATAATCGCATCTTCTCTTCCCAAAATTGTCCATTTCTATTTACAAGCTGAAGGAAAATCAGGGAGGATCTACTGCATCTAAAATCGAATTCTACGAATCACAGAATTGTCGAGCGAGGGTAGTGAATCCTTCGTCGACAGTTTCGGGTAGATCGATTAATTTCGAGGCGACGACGACGACGACGACGACGAAAGCGGGCAACGCCGGATTATGTAATCGCCGCACGAACCCGAAGATTATGGTTATCGGTAGCCTGTTAATTCGGAGGATGTTCCGGCCGAGTTTCCCCCGAGCACCGAAATGCATTCGGTGCAGCACTAACTCGCTCGGCACACCTGAGACCGTTCCAGGGAAGCCCGCGTATTGAGAAATCAGTTTAACCATCGACTTCTAAAATGTTCACGTGCGCAGCTCGTACCGAGAACCTCGTACCGGCTCGATCAACAAAACAACCGTCCAATAACAACGTTCTTCTCGCAAAAATACCGGCAAAAATCGATCCAAGTCCTCGCGCGCTCCCCTCGCCGCAATTTCGAGCAAAACTGTTTCATTCTCCTCGGAATCTCGTCGATACGACGGTGCGAATAATTATAGACTCGAAGTAACTTTTACAAATTTTTCTGGCATTTTTAATTGATATTTATATTATATTATTATACGATTTATGCGATATTTATATCGGAAATTGATAGAGAATGGAAATATGCAAATATAGTTTCTTTTTCGGTTCTTAGTAGTAATTTTTACATTTTTCGTGACATTTAATTGTTATTTATATTATATTTAGTTGACATTTATGTTATATTATTATATGATTTATGCGATACTTCTATAGGAAATAATAGAAAATAGGAATATGCAAATACAGTTTCTTTTTTGATTCTTAGTAGTAACTTTTGCATTTATTCGTGACATTTAATTGTTATTTATATTATATTTCATATTATTTTATATTTATATTTTATATTTTACATTACATTATTATACGATTTATGCGATACTTCTATAGGAAATAATAGAAAATAGGAATATGCAAATACAGTTTCTTTTTTGATTCTTAGCAGTAACTTTTGCATTTATTCGTGACATTTAATTGTTATTTATTTTATATTTTATATTTTACATTATATTATTATACGATTTATGCGATACTTCTATAGGAAATAATAGAAAATAGGAATATGCAAGTACGGTTTCTCTTTTGGTTCTCGTTCAGATATCGGTGAAAAACCGTAATAGTTACTTTCAGCCTGTAATTACGCACGCGGCACCGCGTTCGGACGTGGAAAACCGTGAAAACGATGTGGCGTCGCGCACACAGTCCGCTCCGTTTGTCCATTCGGCGCCTCGTTAATCGCCGCGAGATAAACCGGCCGCTTTTTACTCCAGCTGCGCAGGGACCGTCGTCGATCGTCGATCGGACTTTGTACGGTTCGATGTCTCGGCCGCCTCGATATACCCGGCGGAAAAACGAAAATCATGATCGGTCGACTAAAAATCGCTCGCGGCTACCAGCTCCGTCTTATTTCAAACGGTCTTTCGCGACACAGTCCCGCAGACGCCGCGGAAATCGGCGCCGCGACGCTGTTCCCGCGTTATCGATCCTTTCACGACCCGCTCGCGACGGCCACTAACGAGTCCTTTTCGAAGCGGCCCGCTGAAAAACAATATCTACGAGCTCTCCCCTGATGACCCACGGCCCGGACGACCGTCTTTCGTCGCGGTTATGCGAACGTTTCGGCTCCTTCTTCAGCCTTGAACTCCGACTCGCGACGCGCCGTCGTCCGAATTCTGTTATTCGCTCCCTGCTCGCCGGTCTAGAGAAGCATTTTGCTTTTTCTGCCGAATGCATTTTTATTTCGCGCTTTCGATGCGCGGTTGATATTATTTATTTATTTGTTTATTTATTTGTTTATTCGTTACACGAGAGAAAAACCTATTCGTACGCGACATATAAAGACAATTGTTCAGTCGCTGCGGAGAACAATGTTTGCAGGAAATGAAAAGGAATGTAATAGATTGACTGCGAATTTTGTGCATTTATGGCAAAAATGAGTAGCTGAAACACAGAATTATGAGTACATGAAAAGAATCGAATAATACCGTTACGATATTTTTTTGATTTATCAGAATTTGTTTTAGATTTAATTTATTTAATGTCGCATCTGCTTAATAGCAATTAGCGACCACCTGTGGTATAACATTTGTAGGGTTACATGTAGTGTAATATGTACAATAGTTTCGCATTACATTTTTACATTATTTTCTTAATCTAAGCTCTTTAGGTTGCTATATAATTTCGCTAAACAATTCGGTTTCTTCTAAGCATGACGTAACCATTGCTGTTCGTTTGTAATTGTCCAAACATTCTTTGATGGTATTAGGCATTTTTACTTTCTTTTAAAGGCATTTTTACTTAACTGTAAGCTCAGTGTTACAGTTGTTACAAAGTGGTATGTTAAAATTATTGAAAGAAACGATTAATTTCTACTTCGTTTCTGCTTCTTACAATCGCCTTGGAAAATTAATTATTAATCAATTGAATTAACAAATTATTAAATAAAGATCTAGTTATAGAAAAATATATAATACAAAAAGATATTATAAATACGTAAACGTACGATAACAAATATCCGAAGATTAATCTGTGGAAACAAAATTTCCGAAGACAAATGTCTTGAGACGAACGTCTTGTAAACAAAGATCCGAAGACAAATCCGAGGACAAATTCGAAGACAAACATCCGAAGACAAAAATAAGTCGAATAATCGTCTGTAAACAAACATCTGAAGACAAACGTGTATGAAAACAAATGTATGAACCGCGTCTGTGTCACGTCTGGACCCATGTCTGGAACATCGAATTTGGTATTCAGATCGCAGAATAAATGATTATAATGTATGTGCACCGCTGTCGAGCGTAAACTCCTTTTTGCAATTAGCCTTGAACTTCGGCGAACGACGAGCCATTGTCCCAATTAACTCATTCGCGGCCCGTCGTTCCCGGTTGCAAATAATGTCGAACCGCGTCCAGGAATTACCGTTGTCGATCTCGGTTTCGACCGAGATCACTTGACCCACGAAAATGTGTCCTGGTGGTCCACCGATTTGCGTAGGGCGCCCCTTTGTTAGGGCCATTAAACGCAGTCCACTTCAACGGATTTCGGGGGGAGATTATGCGATCATCGCCGTCGAGTGTGTAACAGCTTGCGTCATTCGGCATCCACGGAAAAACGTGCGTTTACGTTTCTACGATCAATGCAATGAATTCAGAAGCTGTTTCAACGCGGAACAATTTGTACAGCAGGAATTCCGAAGAAAAATTCTGAAGAAATTCTGAAGAAATTCGAAGGAGATTATGACAGGGAAATGAGTCGGCATTAAGCTTCCGTCTTGCTCAACTGTCTGCCGTATTGAACAATAAAGAGTATCCCCGCGTTCTCTCCGTTCAAAAGATAACGTATCGATCGCTAAACTTCTCCCGGTTTTATTAAATTAATTACCAATGCCGGGGCAATTATTCTTGGACCATCGGACCCGTCGATCAGCGGCCAATCTAGACGGATTAGTTTAATTTCCGCTCTTCCTTCGATCGCGTTTAGCGTCGTCAGACTTCGGCCTCTCGAAGTGCCAGGTCTTCGATAAATTTTGAATTTCAGCAACTTCTTCGCAATTTTCGCCGCGATCATTCTACCGAAATCTTCCGTTCGCCATAACGAGTGAAAATCTGATGTTTCAGGTAACAATGCAGGCGGTAGATCATCATCGGTGACAGGATCGGTTCAAAGGAGCACCGTCACGTCGAGCAACCGCGCGCACTCCGCCAGCCGAAGGATCAGCCATCAGCAGCGTCAGCAGCAACAGCAACAGCAGCAGCCGCCCAGAATACCCTTGGGATCCTTACGAAACTCGGATGACCACGTGCCAAGAGCCAGCTCGGCACAGGACGTTTGCGATAACTCGAACGATTCCGGGCTTGGCTTCGAGGAACGTCAGCAACATCTCACCACTGCAAACGTTCGTAAATTTTCCCCGATAGCAGACCTTGTTCTCCGGTGTGTCGCTCTTATTTTACCCGGTTGCTTGCATCGAGCAGAAACCCCGTATTCGCGATATATATATATATATTGTTAATTGTATCGATCATTTATTTAACGCCAAACCGACCGAGCATTAAACACGATTGCCGCGTGTTGCAGTAAATTCTCCGCAATTTTCGTGCAGCTTGTAAACAAAAATGATCTTTATTTATTATTAGGTTTATTTATTTATATATTTGTTTATTGTTTTATTTATATATTTATTTATTTAGTTAGTTATTTGTATAGTTGCCGATCGTCAACGATTATAAAAACGAGGTGCAAGGCTCGAATAATCGTATCTCCGATAAATTGTCCATCTTCTTTTACGAGCTGATTATTACGAGTTAATTAGGGAGAGTTTTCTGTAATCCGTAAGAACGACGACGCTGAATTGATTTGGACTCCGTGCCGTTCTTATCGCACCGTGAAATTAAGAAGTTTCTTCATTTCGATTGCCTCGAAGAGGACTTCATAGTTTCAGCAATTTTAGCATGAAAATTGCACGGCCGACAGGATAGGTTTAGGCTTCAAAGTTCGATCTACCATCTGTCATTTTCATCAACCACCCTCCTGCCACCCTCCATCAGAAATGTTCAATTCATCTTCTCCCGTCTTCAATATAAAAACAAATCGATGCGAGCACGATTTAAATGAACGTCGCCTATCGCCGATGCGATCGCTCGCAGATGCGCCAACAGTGTTATCAACCTCGTGTTGTCGCGAAGTTGTATTATTCTTCGCGTTATCTCGGAGTACACCTGTGCGTTTCGCGATCCGAAAAACTCCTCGTTCCCGCCGAAATAGAAACCGCCGATTTCCTCCGATCTCGATCCAGCTTTGATCCACCGCTTGCCGACGCGTTCGGGGAAAGCCAACGACCCGTTGAAATCACGTCCGAAACTCTATCGTGTGCGCGGTGTATTCGCGCGAACGAAATTGCTTTTTCACAGCGCGTCCGATTGATATCGATGCATGCACCGATAATTCCATCCCGTTGCGTAACATCCGAGACCGCGCGGAGTAACTCGCTGACCGTGTACGAGCATGCATTATGCAGCTGGGATTGCATTTTAACAATCGATACCCGCCACCGCCGCCGCCGCGTTCGCGATGCATCGGCGATGTTCGATTCGGGGACTATTTAAATAGTTGGTGTTGACCCAAAGTATTCTCGCGTCTTCTGTCAGCGTCCGTTGGCTCGACATCCGGCGACAAATAGTCTCATTAGCATCGACATCTTTCGATGCATCGACTGTTCTCGAGCATCGAGCTTTTTATTTCCTTCGCCAAAAAAAACGAGCCTGAAAGGGGCACCTTCGTTTCGGCGACTCGACGCTAATTCATTCTCATCCCTTGGTTCGTTCTTTGGTATCAAATTGACACGATAGTTGAGTCATTACATTTGGAATCATGATAAACAGTCTTTTTTTAAAGAAGAAAACTCTTCTCGTTTGCTCTGCCAAAAAACGAACATCCTTGCTCGATCGGCTTAACTCTAAAAACATAATCGATCTTCGTCACTTATTTTTCCTGTCGAATTTGTTCTTTAGTATTGAGGTACGATTATTCGAGCCTCGCGTCACATTTTTTATAGAGACGACGTTGGCTCGATTAATCGAATCTCCCCTCCCCAAATTGTCCATTTTTTGTGCACAATTTGGAGCCCAAATTAGGGAGAATTTATCATTTATTTTATCACGTAAAATTAAGTAAATTAAGTTAAATTAAGTATTAAGTAAATTCTCCCTAATTTGTCTTCAGCTTGTAATCAAAAATAGACAATGTGAAAAGAGGAGATACGATTATTCGAGCCCTGCACCCCGTTTTCATAATTGTTGACAATCGGCAACTACAAAAATGATCCTCGAGGCTCGAATAATCGTATCACCTATTCCCAAATTGTCCATTTTTGTGTACGAGCTGAAGGAAAATTGGGGAGAAAACAAACATCTTAAAACATCTTCTCGATTCTTCTGAACTGTTTCTCCCGGAACCGCTATATTTATAACAAATCGAAAACGGTTATTTTCGTAGCCTTTTCCAATCCCTGCGCCAAATTGACCAGTCGTCGTCGTCGACCGGGCCCCCTTAAAAAACCCTCGTAAAGTCCATCCTGTCTCGAAACGCGTGGCTCCATTATCTCGCTCGGTAACGGAGTCGAGCCTCCATCCCCGAAAACGTTTCCCAAGAGAACATTCCCGAAGCCCCAGAAGCTTCCATCCCCCGGTCGGTTACGCCACTGTGTCCCGATGTGCATGTGCAAGTGTGTATCTAATGCGATCACGCGTCGCGGCGGGATCGGTCGGCGTTGATTTGCCGCCGCCGCCGCCGCCGTCGTGCCGTCGTCGACGTCGACGACGCGCACCGACCGGTCTCTAACGGTAGTTGAACCCGGCCGACGACGACGGGTGTTCTGATTCGTTAAATTAAGCCGGCAACCACTGGCCGCGCAGACACGCACGCACACGCTATCAATCACTCGTTTTTTCTCTGGTTGCTTAACAGGCTTGGAACGGCGCCGGCGAGGAGGACTCGAAGAGGAGGAAGATGGACATCAAGCTCGAGTCCGAGGACGCGAACTTCGCGTTCCCGGAGGTGGCGCACGCCACCAGCCCGGAGACCAAGAACGGGACCAGAACCACGGCGAACGGGAGCATAGGGCTCGCAACGATATCCGCCAACAGGAACGGGACCGGTTCCGGACGAGTCGTGGACGTGCCCAGATCCAGACCCGGCATGGGAGTACTCGCCAAGAGGCCGCCCCCAGCGCACCAAGGTCCACTCACCCTCACTTCTCAGTTGTGTACGTGTGACTCTGAATATGCTCACCCTGTCCACGATCCAATTGCTGATGTCGTGTACGCTACGCCCCTGCCAAAAGAGCATTCGATCGAATATTTTCTGACAGGGGTAGAAGCCACTGCTTTCGGTACCCCTTACGAACTCCTTGGTTTGGCTGCTCTGTGTATACTTGTGGATCTGATTGCAATTTTAGGCTCATCGAACTATCATCCTCTTTATAAAATGTCTCGCAATCCGGGTGTAGGAGGTTCCCGAGGTCATTTCGAGTAACTTTTTCCTTAGCGAAAATGCGATCCGCGGCTTCGTTCACGAGTTATTCAGGAAAAACGGTGTGACCAATGAGAGGCGAGCTCGGCTGGCGCGAGGCGGCCCAGTCAACGGGCGCGCGACGCCCAGTTCCGCTCATTGGCTCGGCCGTCTCGCGCCAAATGATCTCGCCTCTCATTGGTCACACCGTTTTTCGTTGATAACTCGTAAACGAAGCCGCGGATTGCATTTTCGCTAAGGAAAAAGTTACTCCAAATGATCTCAGGAACCCCTCATTTCCAGTAGTAGGTCTGGTTCTCCTGTTTACGAATACGCACGCTGTATTCCCGGGTCAAATCGCCAAACTTTTGAGATACGAATTTAGGATCGCAGAACAAAGACATTTCTCCTCTATAAGTATCGAGAACGCTTTCTTCGAGATATCTTCGCTACTAAAGTCGTACGAGTCAAAGAAATAATTCAGGTTTATCACGTATATCACGAAAGAAAATAGTTGTATTTATCGTAAAATTAATTATAAAAGAAAGTGTTGCGCGTGTTGCTCAAAATGATTACCTTCGGCTTGGAGATGAACCTTAGGTGAACAGGAGAACGAGAACTATAACCGTATAATGTTTCAACAAACTCTGTGACCCCAAGAACTCGTACTCTCCTTCAGAGTCTCGGTTTCGGTCCTCCCTGACACGAATGTCCCTCGAATCACGGCAGAAAAGAAATTAGGGTTGATACGCGCATCGGCGGTTCGAGACATATTTTATGCACCGCTTCGGTCTCCGTTTCTCCTGCGAGAGGTATTGCGTCGTTAGATATATACCGGCACCGAGAATTTACATGGAGATTCGCTTGTTTGCCTCCGGATCGCGGCGACAGATTTTAACTGACTGCTGCAGGATCATGCGAACTGATAACCTCCGACTCGCGCAACATCTCCGTTTGTATTTTTTGCGTGTATTGTAACGTCGACAGATAAATCTGTTTCCGGCGAAATTGTTCACCTCGTTGCTTCTGCCTCGGCTATATTACCACAGTAGACTCTATTCGACTTTATCGATACCATTGCCAAGATGTCGAACGATATCTGGGTCGAATTTAATTGATCCAATTCGACAATGTACGAACTCAGTGTTCACCCTTCCAGAGTATCGACGTTCCTTCTATTTCTTGAAGTTGGTTCTCCGGTTNCGGGCGCGCGACGCCCAGTTCCGCTCATTGGCTCGGCCGTCTCGCGCCAAATGATCTCGCCTCTCATTGGTCACACCGTTTTTCGTTGATAACTCGTAAACGAAGCCGCGGATTGCATTTTCGCTAAGGAAAAAGTTACTCCAAATGATCTCAGGAACCCCTCATTTCCAGTAGTAGGTCTGGTTCTCCTGTTTACGAATACGCACGCTGTATTCCCGGGTCAAATCGCCAAACTTTTGAGATACGAATTTAGGATCGCAGAACAAAGACATTTCTCCTCTATAAGTATCGAGAACGCTTTCTTCGAGATATCTTCGCTACTAAAGTCGTACGAGTCAAAGAAATAATTCAGGTTTATCACGTATATCACGAAAGAAAATAGTTGTATTTATCGTAAAATTAATTATAAAAGAAAGTGTTGCGCGTGTTGCTCAAAATGATTACCTTCGGCTTGGAGATGAACCTTAGGTGAACAGGAGAACGAGAACTATAACCGTATAATGTTTCAACAAACTCTGTGACCCCAAGAACTCGTACTCTCCTTCAGAGTCTCGGTTTCGGTCCTCCCTGACACGAATGTCCCTCGAATCACGGCAGAAAAGAAATTAGGGTTGATACGCGCATCGGCGGTTCGAGACATATTTTATGCACCGCTTCGGTCTCCGTTTCTCCTGCGAGAGGTATTGCGTCGTTAGATATATACCGGCACCGAGAATTTACATGGAGATTCGCTTGTTTGCCTCCGGATCGCGGCGACAGATTTTAACTGACTGCTGCAGGATCATGCGAACTGATAACCTCCGACTCGCGCAACATCTCCGTTTGTATTTTTTGCGTGTATTGTAACGTCGACAGATAAATCTGTTTCCGGCGAAATTGTTCACCTCGTTGCTTCTGCCTCGGCTATATTACCACAGTAGACTCTATTCGACTTTATCGATACCATTGCCAAGATGTCGAACGATATCTGGGTCGAATTTAATTGATCCAATTCGACAATGTACGAACTCAGTGTTCACCCTTCCAGAGTATCGACGTTCCTTCTATTTCTTGAAGTTGGTTCTCCGGTTGATCGAACACTATCGCGGCGGCTCCGCCGGCATAAACTAGGTCACGCTCAATTGCATTCAAATGGATATTGATGTCAGGGAACAGAGTACTTAAGTTTCTTAAAACCAGTCCAATGCGAAGACTCTCTTGCGTCTCTTACACTTCTTTGCTTCTCTGTTCGCGGTTAGCGTACCAGTCGTGAATGATCGCAGGCATTCGATCGCGAGGCGCACCGTCTTTTTTTAACGAAACTGATTCTCTGTAACGAGCAGGCAGCGCTTCCTCGGACGGAAAAGTGCAACTGCAGATTATCTGCCAGCCGGAGCAGCAGCACCGGGCCCGCTACCAAACGGAGGGCTCGAGAGGCGCGGTGAAGGACCGCACCGGGAACGGGTTCCCGATCGTCCGACTGGTCGGTTACGACAAACCGGCGACCCTACAGGTTTTCATCGGCACGGATCTTGGCCGTGTCGCGCCGCACATGTTCTACCAAGCTTGCCGGGTGAGCGGCAAGAACTCGACCCCTTGCATCGAGCGTAAAATCGATGGAACGATAGTGATCGAGGTGGACATGGACCCCACGAAGGACATGATGGTCACCTGCGACTGCGTCGGGATCTTGAAGGAGCGGAACGTGGACGTGGAGCACAGATTCCCCCAGGAAGCCAGCATCCGTCAAGGTCGCAGCAAGAAGAAGTCGACCCGCTGTCGCATGGTCTTCCGCACGACGATCACCCACCCCGATGGTACCTCGGAGACCTTGCAAGTCTGCTCGCAACCGATAGTCTGCAGTATGTATCGGCGAACTCGCGCGAATCCTTTGGAGTTGCTACAGCTCGTTTGCACCCTTTCAGCTCAACCGCCGGGCATCCCAGAGATCTGCAAGAAGTCCCTCACCTCCTGCCCCTGCACCGGCGGCCTGGAGCTCTTTATCCTAGGGAAGAACTTCCTGAAGGACACGCGCGTGGTGTTCCAACTGGACAACGACGATCTAACGAGTAGCTTGGAGCCGCGCTGGGAGTGCGCCGTGCTGCCCGACAAAGAGTTTCTGCAACAGACGCATCTTGTTTGCGTCGTGCCCGCCTACAGACGGCAGGACCTCGCGCCCTCGGAAAGGGTCAGCGTGAAACTGTACGCGGTGTCTTCTGGGAAGACCAGCGAACCCCATACCTTCCTCTACACCGCCACGTCCACGCCACCGGAGCCATCGGTGGGCAAGATCGAACCCCTGACGCCGCCTCTGTCCACAGCGAACGGCGACTCAACCCTCGCGACGTCCCCCACGGCAGTGCCCCTGACGACAGGTGTTGCAGCAAACAGTAAGCGTATTTTCGATCCTAAATGCTCTCTACGGTCGTCGATAGGTCGGTGCTAGATCGTATGTAACTGTAAGACTCTGAATTTTCAGCTCTGATCAACCAATCAGCAGCAGGTACGCCGAATTTCTTGTCCACGATGCAACCGCAACAGCCGTCGTCTCAGACGAGCGAAGCTCTGAAGAGCGATCCCAGTCCTCCGCCGGTCACGGCGTCCTCGCAGGTGACGCCTGTGATGATGTGGGCGGCACAGAGTCCCAGTTGCCAGAACTCGCCACCGGACGTGATGATGCCACCCCCGGCTATGGTGGCGAACACGCTACTGAACCGTCGGTCGTCCTCGAATCTTCAGCTGATCCTGCCCGATAACTTAAAGACGGAGGTGCTGGACGAGAACAGCGAGAACAGCATGATCAGCGAGAACAGTATGCAAAGCATACCTACACCGACGGCGAACGGCTCGTCCGGGACCAGCCCTTTGCAACAGCTGGTCAGCGAGAACTCTCTAGAGACGACGCAGACCAACCTGATCAGGTCGGTGCCCGTGGCGCCGAACGGCTCGCCGGTACAAGAGGCGGTCAATATTCTGGGCGTGGTCGATATGATGCGGAACCAACACTCTCTGTCGATGGTGACGACCCATCAGAACGCCTACGGAGGTATGCACGAATCGTCTCAAGTCAAAGTCCTAAGTCCCCATCATATCAACAAAGACCCTAATGCAATGTTGACGGCAGACGGCAGCCCTAACGGAACCCTCCAGGGTGGCGGAGTGGTAGACCTACGGATGAAACACCATCAGTCGGAGTTCGCAGCCCTCTCGAATTTCGCCGTGTCTTCGAACGGACAACCGTTGCCCGCCCAGAGCGGCCACAGCGTGGAGAAGTATCTGAACCACATCGAATCCAACGCGAAGGAGGTTGAGAGCCAGGAGAACGGCTATGTGGCTAACATGCAGCAACGTGCTTCCATAATAGCCTCGGGTCGGCAGCCGCAACAAACTCAATCCGCTAACATGCTAGCCCCCGCCAGCCAAGGCGTTAAATTGGATACTTTGGTGAACCCTGCTGGCGAGACTCATCAGCTGGTCTCGCCGCTGCGAACTGTCAACCCTAGCAACAACGCTTTGATGACCCATGTCGCTGTGAACGACCATGAAACGATACCGAGCCCCCAACAGACCAGAAACAGCCCACCGATGCCGGTGCTTTTGGAAGCGCTGATGCCGTCGCAGACTGTTCAACCCCTAACAAACGGTGCCCCGTCAGTCTCTCCTCCGGCGGTGCAAGAACAATCCTCCGGAGATAGTTTGTTGACCACCATCAACGCTGCCTTGCTGCCGGCCATGCAAGAGCCGCCGGTGACAGCTAACGGCGCGTCCTCCGCCAGCGTACCATCCCATAATTCATTGCAAGTCACGAACGACACTATGTCGGCAGCGTCTGATCACATTCCCCAGATACAAGGTCTGATTCAGCCGGATGTGGTAGCGATGCAGCAGGTGCAACAGGTGGAGCAAGTTGTTGCACAGGCGCAGCAGCAGGTTGAGCAAGTGGTCGCCCAAGCGCAGCAGCAAGCGGTGCAGGCGGTTCAGCAAGCGCAACAGCAGGTCGTTCAGCACGTGGTGCAGCACGCACAAGTTGTCCAGCAGGCTGTGCAACAGGTGCAAGCTGTTCAGCAGGTTCAGGCTGTGCCGGCGGTCCAACAAGCCGTTCAGCAGGCTACTCAGGAAGTGGTCCAGCAAGCGGTTCAGCAGGCGACGCAGGATGTGGTGCAACAAGTTCAAGCTGTTCAACAAGCGGTGCAACAGGCGCAGGCTGCCCAGGCGATGCAGCAGGCGGTTCAACAAGATATCGGGTCCATGTTGAACCAACCGGCTGGCTTCGTTGCCGAAGCTAGCTCCGCCCTTGCCAGTGGAGCAGCTCAAGAACCGTCTCAGCAGAGATTGACCACCGCCGCTGAACAGGCGATTAACAGTGTTATCACCAACGCTACTCAGGACATCATCAACACCATCGTTAACGATAGATCTATACCCATTACTACGACCACCGCCCATGCCATTATCGCTACCAAGAATATTCTGAACAGCGTGGCCACACAAAGTGCCCAGCTGATGAACAGTGCCATGGAAGGGATCCTACCCAAGTCCCCGTCCAGTCAAAACAATATCGTCGAACAAGTAACAAGTAAGTCGCCACCGGTCGCGATGCCAGTCACGCCCAGCAGACAAAACGTGAACCCACCCATAACGAATGCCACCGGCAACGCGGCTGGGACCACCATCAGAAAACAGGAAGACGGCATGCTACCGCAGGAACTGACGTCAATGTCGGAGCATGATCTTCTCAGCTACATTAATCCAAGCTGTTTCGACCCGCAGAACGGTTTTCTTATGTAGTGCTGTTATATATTCTTGTCTTTGAACATGAAATTTTATATAAGGTGTTCGAGATCCTATTCGAATACGGAACGAGTGACTAATCCCAGCCAATCGGGCAACACGGTTGACCGAATTCGGTTTGGTACAAGTTCTATATATCTGTGCCACATTGTCGTTTCAGACTTTGTATGTGATAAACAAAAACAAATCCGCTTTTGTACGATGAAAGAATGGACGAAGTTTGCCACCACCTTTGTAATCAAATCGACGAAACTATTATCATTGTTAAGTAAGACGGGCGCACGAGAGCGCGACAATTAGGGTTTCTCCTCCTTTATTCTTCCTTTTTCTACGAGTTGTCCGACGTAATAATTCATTTTATTTATCTTTATCAACGCCTCTTGCGAGTTCAGGTGCCTTTCTTCCCCGAGCCCCACTGTAAATGTATCTCTCAGAATTGGTACGTCCCCTTTTCTTTTTCACGGACATTGTCCGTGTTGTCCGTCAACGGGTGTGTTAGTGTATCCTAGTAATCGACGATGTACTGAACCCCCTCAAGTGTAAGTGGAATCGTGAAATTGAGTATAGCGATGATGAAAATCTTATGTTGCCTGTACCCTGTATCCTGAAACGGTAAATACTTGAGTTTTACAGTTCATAGATGCATCCTTTTATTCTCTTTCTCTTCTCCTCCAATTGTCTTGACTTGATTTCATTGCGGAAAAATGGATCATCTTGTTGTTTGACGTCGTTTCTATTATATTTTTAAGTAATAATATATATATTTCGTATGTTGTTTAATAATTGAATATTTTTGTTGATAATTAATACGAATAATACAATATCATGTGATTGCGTTGATGGTTATCGATATACTAAATAGGTGTATATGAAAATGACAGAGAGATTATATTATATGTCAGTACGAGGAATAATTAATATAGAAATATATATCATTGATTATCATTGAAGGACAGTTTAAAAACTAATGGAACTGCTGTTGAGTACTGTGTTAGATGTTTCATACCTAGGCTCATCTTTTCACTTCTGATGGTACTACCGATTCTATAATAATATTGGCTAATCTCATTTAACGATACTTGTTTCCAAAGTTTTCATTCACCTTGAATTCTACGATTAACTAAAAGTCTTTCTCTCATTTTTGGTTCTCGTTTAAGGCCATTGATGAGATCTTCGAGTACAGAGGAACTGGCCAGTGATTTATGTATTATCAGAGTGGCCTGTTTTAAAAGTTGATATCATAAATTTATCTTTATCGTCTTGCTCGAACTCAGCACTTTCCTGTTTGAACGATGCCATGAACATAGTGTGTTTAGCGTCCACTGTCGGAAATCTAAGTTTCCGTACCTTCATCCCCCTGTACCTCTCTTTACTTTCCTGGAATCAGGTCCTACATCGTAGACTATCTTGGAAGCAAGTTCCAGAGCTAAAAAATGATCTTTTGTCGAAGATCAATTCATCAGCGTAGTCAACACAGTGCCTCTCGAATCCTATTTGGAGATTTTGACAAATTGAGATCAAGCCCTGTGTGCTTGGTGAAGAAGGTCGCCAGGTGCGAAACCTGCGATACTGTACTACTTGGCTATGCCCGTATGCCGTATATATAATCAGGCTCCCAGGCTTGGACCCAATAAGCTCGTTGTTAGACAGACTGACAGATGAAATCGTACAGTTTGTCCAAGCTGTAACGTTCTATGAACTTATAAAGGCTAAATCCAAATAAACGATTAACTTCTATATCATTGAGATATATAATATATATATATTTTATGTTTACCCAAAGAGAGAAGCAGATAATCGGACAAAGTGAGCTTATTAAGAATATAATGAGAATATTATATATTATATATTGTAACATCAAGTTACGCGAGGGTTTCTCCCTTTTGTTCAAGAAGAGGGGTGCTATGTACCGTGTGTACGAATACTCGCCAACATTAATCTAGTAAGAGACAGATTTTATAATGAAAGATATTGAAACATTTATTGTTGTGATATGTCTTTGTAGCAAAGAAAGAAAGAAAGAAAGTATATATATATGTATATGTATACGAAACGTACATGTATATATATATGTATATGCATATATATGTACATATATATAATTTTACATCGATCATCTATTTACGTGTCACGTGTTTTAGAGGGTCATTTAAAAGACAAAACAAGACCATGAACACTGAGCATTGACTAAACGAACCGATCATTATACTATATGGTATGTACTCTCGTGAAATTGTAAACATTTACTATACACTGTACTGTACGCACATTTGTAGCGTCGTCAGCTTATTGCATCGAGAACGAAAAATTACAAGCATGTACTATCATTTTATTCTCCTGTAAATTGAATAAATGTTTCACAGCATTGCTTTTCCAATAATTTTTTCAGTCAACTTGGGTATGGATTTAGTATAGGCTTAATAAAGCTATAAAAGAATAAACCATCGATTTTATTTATTTAACATAAATATATATATAATTTAAAAATAGCTGCTCTAATTGTCAATAAAATTAATATCTTTAAATTACATAACTTTTCTCCTGAGATTTACGTTGCATTTGAAAGTTGCCATTTTCCTTTCTCACCTTGAACTTTGCCTTCTTTCACCAACTTTTTCAGATGCATTAATACATTGTAGGCTGCAGCTTCCCACATAATCTGCGAGGTATCCTGGAAACATTAAAATATTTATTATAAAATCGATTTCAAATTTATTGCTTTAGTGTTGCTAAAACGGTGAAGATGCTTTTATAGAAAATGTCTAGTCCTAGAAAACGCAGTTTCCACATTTTATCAAAACATGGCTATTGAAAATATAGAAGGACCATTTAGACTGTTTCTCGTTTCCATTGCAAAATATTTTCAATATTCTTCTCTTGTGATTCCCAATATATATTAGAAACAAAGTAACAGTTATTACCGTGTATATATGATTCACAATATCCATCTCGGATAAAGTACTGCTCTTGGAATGCTTCTCCAGAATATCTAAAATTGCAGCTTCTCTTTTCAGCCTATGCTCAATATAAAAGTTAATACTAGTTTCGGGATCTAGTATGATCGAACCATGACCCGGGTAAATCACCTTAGGTTTCAATGTCAAAATCTTTTTCAAAGATTGTATATAAGTCTGTAGGTCCTCAAACACGGCTGTTCTCTCTCCAAGAATACAATCTCCGCTGAACAATATCCCTTCATCTTTAAGTAAAAGGCTGGCATGGTCTGTGGCATGTCCGGGTGTATGTTCAACTATGATCTTGGCGCCTTCTACTTCCACTATTTGTTTATCTTGCAACGGTTGCCAGTTAGTGGCTATTTCCTCTTTGCTGGGACCTTCGTCCTCTGGAGATCTAGGTAGCTTCCATATAGTATTGTGCCCGGTAGGGCTCATACTATTTAACAGATTCTGAACTGCATTTGCTCCGCCAATATGATCCATGTGCCAATGAGTTATAACTAAATGTTCTACCGTAGCCCGTTCATCTTTCAGAACCTGAGATAATACTTTTATGTATTCATCAGCAGTTCCTGCTTCCCCGGAATCGATTAATATGCGTCTACGAAAGAACTCGTCAATTTGCGTCATCCTACACACTTTTTATTCATCATGGTAAAAAAAATCAATTTTATGCACTTACTTGGATCCAGTACCTACAAGGTACGTATTTGTACCTTGTAATGTCATGACTCCTGGATTACATCCTAAAATTCTTATCACTTGCTTTGATAATCTCGTTATAGTAGGTAAATCGATTAGAGGCTTCATAATGATAATTCGAATTGACTGCAACAAAACTATACGCGTTTGTATACGATACTTCGTCACGCAACTATGACATGACACAATTGATCGGACATCAGATGACTCTTACTTATTCATCATAAGGATGGTTATCACTCACTGATTTACTGTTCAATAAAAGTAACTGTTGATAAAAGTCACGCGGTTATGCGTTGGCGACTTATTTTTACTTTCGTCGGTCTGCAAATAGGTAGGAGCTGTCGAGAGACCATGATTGATGAAATGGATAAGAAATTTCATCATATCATGAATATTGAAAATCACAGGATCCATATTTTAGGTTCACCTGCTCTTTCGTCTAATTTGCATGATTACGTCAGGTATTCATAGGTTATATCATCTATGTTTTCGCATAAGCATGGATCTGATCTTGGTTGTGGTCCATGCGGATAATCAGCAAGTGTTCAACAGGTTCTGAACAATGATGAACAAGACTGTCATGTTCATCATCTCATATGTTCAATTAGTTGAAGATATGAGAAAATATATTAGCATTGAACAAATGAGAAAATATTGTCATTGTTTTAGTATCATACACGATAATTAATTATCATTACGGATAATTAATGAACTGATTTGCAAGTGAAAAGAGGATACGAAAGCGTTCACGTAGGGATTTATGCAGTTCCAATGTGATAATCTTTCACGTTAAAAGAGTTTGAAAAAACTGCGCGAAGTGCGTATTTTTTTATTACTTTCTAACCTTCGCTCTTGTTTAGCATAATGTAAAGTTACTTTATCTCAAAATATATGCATATGTCATATCTGGTAAACATACGATTCTTGTTGCTATATTTAGAATATTCAATGTAAACTTAGAAAATTAAAATTGTTTACATAGTCCCTCATGATCGCAATTTTGTGATTAGTAGCGCCTACCGTGGCGAAATTCTGAAGCTTCGTTCGAGGTTCGTACAGCGCCAATTAGTAAATGGTAAAACGCTGAAATTGCTTGCCAAACAGTGGCGCCTCTTGCGGCGAAAGTTGGAAGCTCCGTGCAGGGTTCGTACAGCGCCAATTAGCACAGCGGCAAAACACTGAAACTGCTTGCCAAACAGTGGCGCCTCTTGCGACGAAAGTTGGAAGTTCCGTTCAGTGTTCGTACAGCGCCAATTAGCGCAGCGGCAAAATGCTCAAACCGTTAGCCAAAATCAAGCGTCGGTCATTCGCCTATTAGTTTGAGCAATTTACCACGGGTGGCGCCACCAGTTCATCGGAGTACATTTCCCGTCGGTATCGTTCGTCTACCAGTTTGAGCGATTCTCCACGGATGGCGCCACGGGTCCAAAGTACAGATATTCCGAAGCAAATAATTCTTGCCGGAATTTCCATATAATCCTGTAGAAAAACCGGCACGAATCATCTGCGATCGAACAAATAACCGAAAAACAAGTAAAATAAACGCCTGCGATCGTTCCGCGGCGCTCGAACGAGTCCCAAAAACAATCGTTCACGAATCCCCGGCAAATTTATTACTTCGAATCGAAAATTTCGCATTCCCAGCCCCGAAACGACGCGAGGAAACCTCGAACTCCGTTCCAGCACGCGCAAACGATGCATCGCGAAATGATTCGGGACACTTTTTAAAAAATCGTGCTTGTTAAAAACGTCCTCCAGTCGCGCGCGGACTTACCGAGCACATTGTTCCGCGATGAATGCCGGAAATGCACCGTGACCGGCAAGAGCCTCCAATCAAAACAGGGGCGCGGCACGTGGCAAGCCGAATAATGAGCGGCCGCGGACCGCGTCGCGCCGTGGACAGGAACTTTTCGTTTTGTTAATTGCGATTTTCAACTTACCGCGAATAACGAGCCGACCTCGTTCGCCGTTGTAATTCCGCCGGGCTCTTCGTTCGCTATTTCCGTTGACACACTTCGATCCTCGGGGTTCGCCGCTCTTCCTCCGTCGGTCCCTTCTTCCTCTCCTTTTTCCTCCCGCGTTTCCCTCTTCCTTTTCTTTTTCTTTTCCGCCCCTCGGTTCCTTGAACAGGGCGCATCGCGTCGATCGCGGCGCTTTGACAAGCTGGAATTGTGAGGGAAGCGGGAGGGTTGACACTGGAAGACACCGACGGAAGAAGAGGGATTCTCGACGGCTTAGGAGGAATCGCCGTTAATGGCTCGGCCGGAGGATTTCCTGGCGTTCCCCCGAGCTTTTTTACGCTGGTTTCCGGCCGGGCCGATCTAAAGCGCTCACTCAAATCAAGATTCTCACCTTTTCACCGGCAGATGAGCCGGATGGCCAACCGACCGACGCCCCTCCCGGCTCTGGTCCCGCCGACCCCGGCCGGCTTCCGCGCAGCTTTTTTCTTCATCCATCTTTCGCCGGTTTGCCATCTTCGTCCTCGATCCGTCCTGTCTTTGCTTTTTCGAGAGTTGAGCCCTTTCAGGACCTCCCGGCTTTTTTACAAGCCGCTAAATGGCCAGTTTTTCGGCCGGCCCGAGCCCGGCCGTCCGACCATCGTGTTCACGGCCGACGAGAAAAGAGCTTTCTTCACGGTAATCTGAAATTGACGTAATGATGATGGATCTACCGGGCGACGGAATTAACAGCCGTCGTCCTGGCTTTTCGTCAGCCATTGCCTCGGTGAAATAACGGGGGATTTGAAAATCATCCGCCTGAGAAACGTAAACAAGGGAACATCGTGGAAAACGATCGAAAATTCGGTGAATTTTTTATCCAATTGTCCTTCGACTTGTAAAGAAAAATTTGGACGATTTGGGAAGAAGCGATTATTCGATTCATTTGAGGCTCGTTTTTATAGTCGTTTTTATAGCCGAATTGTCTGGCTTAGAATCGTGTCACGTGGCCTCTAAATTGTCTTCGAATAGTGTCATGTGGCCTCCGAATTGCCGGCCTTAGAATCCTGTTACATGGCCTCCGAATTGTCTGCCTTAGAATCGTGTCACCTAACCTCTAAATTGTCTTCAAATAGTGTCATGTGGCCTCCGAATTGCCTGCCTTAGAATCCTGTCACATGGCCTCCGAATTGTCTGCCTTAGAATCGTGTCACATGCCCTCCGAATTGTCTGCCTTAGAATCGTATCACGTGGCCTCTAAATTGTCTTCGAATAGTGTCACGTGGCATCCGAATTGTCTGCTTTAGAATCGTGTCACGTGGCCTCTGAATTGTCTTCGAATAGTGTCACGTGGCCTCCGAATTACCTTCGAATCGTATAATGTAGCCTCCGAATTGCCTGCCCTCGAATCATGTCATATATCCTCGGAATTGCCTCAGAATAGTGTCACATGGCCCCCGAATTTCCCTCGAATCGTGACAAAAAATAAAAAATAAAAGAAGTCGCGTCACGCTGACCGAAGAATCGCGACCCAGTATTCTCGGATCTGCCGGTTTCAATTCCGACCTCCGCAAACATTTCCGGAAGAAATTACTGTAACATAATATAATATTATAACATATAACATTATCAACAACGCTGCTCGAACGATCAAGATCCGTCGCAACGTTCCGCGCGTTCGATCAAATTAACGAACAGGTTACATTTCCCCGCATGTTGTAGTTATCGAGCGCCATGTAAATTTACTTTTCCGAAAGGGGTATTGAGAGGCGAGGGGGGGTTGGAGAAAAAGCTGCGCTAATGGAACCAGCTTGGGAGCGGGGGATGAAGCGCCAGCGACCCTTCGCCGAGCAACTTTTCTTCCGCAGCCCGCGGATTACCCGATCGTTAATATTTCGCCGGGAGAGAAATGAATGTTCCGATGGAATTGGAACTTTCGAATGTTCAATTTGTCAGCGGGCTGTTAGCCCCGGCGTCCGCGGTATCGTCCGCGAAGAACGTCTCGGGCGCCGTTCGCCCCGGCTCGAGGCCGGTGATTCAATTGTTGTCGAAACGAGTTTGTAAGTTATCGCGTCGCCTAATTGATTTAAAAAAGTTCGGCGGTAGCCGTCGTCCGCCGGCTCATCGGGACCCGTAATTTCGTTGGCAGCCACTCCGCGATCAAATTCTCGCCCCGACGTTCGAGATTCGATCGGTTACGATCGCGCGATCGCGCGAAACGCGTCGCCGTCGCGGTTCGGGAAATAATCAATTTTCCGCTGTTCCGTGTGCCACCCCCCTCCCTCTCCCCCTCGCCATGAGACACATTTTCCTCTCGAAAACAATTTCGTGCGGCGACGGCGTATGCAGAAACGATCGGACAATTATCCGGATAGCATAGTCCTCGACGGAGACCTTTCGAGAGATTGAATAAAGAAAAAGGCGCCCCCGAGCACCGGTGCCGGGGTCGCAGACGACGCTTATGACTCGCTCGCACGCAATATTAATTCTAGGGGAACATTGTTTAACCGTACCGTCGTATTGCCCCATACACGAAATAGAATTACGCTTCCGTATCCGCCGCGGCTTTGCATCCCCTTGAATCTCATTTGCCGCGATCTGCGATCTATTCTGTATAAACAAACGCCCCCCCTCCCCCCTACACGTTGGGGCGTTGTCGTTCGAATAGGCGAAGTAAAAATCATTTTCTTGAAGCGTTTGCGAACATCGATCGTAGCCGTTTTTAACGCTAGATTCACGGAACCCGTCAAAATGGCGGGTTGAGTTATTGTATATAATTTGATACTATATATAGTTATTGTATTATTTAATTTAATTTTATAATTTACGATTATTCGTATCGTAAAGACACATTTGTATATTTATGTGTTACTGCAATTTATATGTTATGTCCAATTTATGTGTTACTTACGGTAAATGTTACGATAACGCTTGTTAAAAATCAGGATAAATGTCTTATTGTTATTAACACTAGATTCACGGAACCCGTCAAAATGGCGGGTTGAGTTATTATATGTAATTTGATACTATATATATTTATATATATTATTTAATTTAATTTTATAATTTACGATTATTCGTATCGTAAAGACACATTTGCGAGTTATTTATGCAATTTATATATGACTTACGGTAAATGTTGCGATAACGCTTGTTAAAAATCAGGATAAATGTCTTATTGTTGCTTTTATAAACTGATATAAAATAGCTGTTTTTCGTGCTCCGTGAATCTAGCGTTAAACGTTCGCGCTTAGGACATTTTCTGGGGTTGTTCATCGAAAATTTGAACGTATTTACAGTAAACTCTCCCTAATTTTCCTTCAGCTTGGAAACGAAAATGAACGGTTTAGAAAGTCTCCTTCGGCAAATTATTCTAGAACTATTTTTAAATGCGCGGAGAATCTGTGAACACGTTTCACAAGCATTTTAATTTGAATTGAGAAGTACTTCAAGAGAAGTATTTTCATCGAAAGATGTGAAATCGGCATTTCCTTGTGACACGTGCCGTTTTAAAATCGCAAGACCGAATTTATTTCGACATCTCACCATTTTTGTTGCAACGCGTGCTTCGAATTAAGAAATTTATTCAATCATTTCCTGCAGAAAAATTTATTCTATTTTATCATTTCTGCGATATCAAAAATCCTTAACTAAAAAATATGGAACTGCTCATTTTGACCGCCATGGTGGATTTAGTATTAAACTCTAAAAAAAGCATTAAAATACATTG